AAAGTCTGCTATAACTCCCCTTCTTCACCTAGTGATATCTAGTCTACTCCAGTTCTGGACAGCCAGAGAGCATCAGTAATCTCTAACTACACTTACAGAAGATTATACGTCATACTTCCCAATGCCTTCTGCCTGGAGATCTCCACAAAACCTAAACAACTAAAATGAGCAGTAAGTATTATTCCTATTTTAAGATATGGTGGGAAATGAGCTGTACAAGTCAAGGTCTGTGGCAAAACTGGGAACAAAGTCAAGATCTTATTTTTTATCCAACGAGGTTTCAGACATGAGAATAGCTTTTCTCCAAGTTTAAAATGGAGACTCTGAATCCTCTACAAAATACGTGTGGCAGAGAGAAGGCACTACTGGAGTTAGAAGACTACTGTCCATTGCTGTTACAGAAGGTCTTCATTAGACAGCAACAAGTTGACAGCCAAGCAATTAATAGTACTTTATCTGCAAGCCTACCCTAGGCTATAGTATTTCTGCATTAATCAAAACTAACCCTGCTCCCAGGAACACATAAGGTAGCTGAGCCTTAAAGAAAGGCCAGGCCTTTGAAGTGTCAGTAAGTCACATGCTTTAAGATCATGATTTTTCTTGGAATCTATGAAATGCGAATATATACCAAGCAGTAGGAATAAAGCAGGAGAGACCTAACTGAAAATGCAACCATTTTACAGCTTTAGAGCATAGACCACGTATTTTTATTTTTTCAGCACAAACATTCTCCCATGAAAACAATTTCAAGGCTAAATGGGGAAAGAAGGCAAAAAGGAAGCAGAGGTGACAGAAGAAGCATAAACCAATTTTTTAACTAAGACTCTCCATCCACTTCTACTACCATGACAAATACATTTAGGGTACTCAAAAGCTAAAGCTGTAACCCAGCCTTTCTTTCCTCCCCCACACAACACGTCAGTAGGGTGTCACAGAAGAACCAATTTCCAAAAAGCTCTTGGCACAAGCTTGTAAGAAAACTGCCATGTACAGGGAGTTGTGAACAGAATGCAGAATGCATTACACTGAGAAGACATCAGTGTCTTCACTGGGGTGGAGGATGCAAAACCACACGTAATTTAGCATGTAAAAGAGAATTTAAGAAGCTAAGCCCAACAACTCCCTATAGAGCTGACAGATCTCAAACTTTAGGGACTCCTTGGGCAAAGGAGTGAACAGCAAAGAAAGACTAAAAAAAATGGAGGAAATACACCCCCATCCTGATGCTTTGTACTAGGCAAGGGCAGTAGATTTCTAATGATAAAAATGACTCTGGCCACTTACCTTTGAGCTTCTGGAGTTCATCCTTCAGGTCAGGCCCAGCATGCATGAATATACTTTCAGATACTGGATTCTTATCGGTGAGAGACTCATTACTGGTATTTACAATGGCCGTGCAGTTCAATAACGCGACATCTCCTTTCCTGAGGAAACAGTTTTTTGGGGGCTAAATGTACGATTAAGCAGCATATTCTCAAATAAGTGCTGACAAGCAAGGAAATGCCAAGTTACAGGAAAAGCTTTAACAGTACTCCAGTGCCCACACAATGTAGCACACCCTGACGTGCTCACCATGCCGAATCATCCTTTGCCTCTATCTGATGACTGCATGCAAACTGTCAGTCCCTTAAAAACTCCCAGTCTCAACAGTAGTTTGGGGTTGTATGTAGAAAAGGCAGTGTTCTAGTTGTATGTAGGCCAGTTCAGACAGCAAACATGCAAAGCAGCTGGTTAAACTGATGGAGTGTAATACGTTCCAAAAACGCACATACTTTCTCTCGAGGTAAGACGACAACCCTTGTACTACATTACTTTCAAATCGTCAACAATTTTTTCAATGTACTTCTTTTGGGTTGCTTACACATTATCCAGGGCACCTTACTGCTGCTGCTCTTCCTCACACCACTAGAGTGACGCTGCAGCTGGACAAGTTTCCTTTGCTTTTGTTCCCAAATTGTGAACCCACAATTGGATCATGTTCATTCTGCTGTTTAAGGATCAGACATGCAGAAGATAAACAAGGCAGAGATGCGTAAGGGACAGAGGGATAGCAGAACTGACCTGCTTTTTGTCACAGCAGCAGCCATTAGGGATTTTGGGATCAAAGAGCATAAGAAGGGAAATAAAGATTCCCACGCACAGGGAGAGATTCAAATAATAGTTGAAACTGCACACATTTATTACAACCAAGCCCAAGTCATAAGAGATATTTAACCTTTTACTCCTCTCTTCCTTTACTTAATCGGTTCAGGAAATCCATGAACAGTCCCATTTCCTGCATGTATTAACCAGAAAGAGGTTCCCTGAATCTGTGTCCCTAAGAAATCCTTTTCTCTTCATACTGATTAACAAAGTTATTCTTCTAGATAGTAGGTTCACGCATCTGAGTTACAGTAAATAAAAACGGATGGAGCAAGCCCATCTCAGCGCACTGTACTTTATCAACAGATTTTGGTAGAAAACCACGGAGACAAAGCACAGAATGTGGGGGAGGGCAGGAAGAACATAAACCACATGAAAGAAAGAAACACCGATTTAAATCAGAAAAGTGAAAGCGGAATAATGACAAAAAATACAGAAAAAAGCTAGTAGACAGCAAGTGTATTTTAAAAAATTAAAAATCTCATATCAAAGTGCCCAACTAAGTTTTGATATTAAGCATACAGTATCACAGCAGGAAGTACATCTCCAGACTGCTGCAACAAGGACTGCCTATGAGCAAGCAATTTATAACCAGTGGTGGAGCAAAATCTCAGACTTGTAAATTTATAGAGAACAAAAAGATTATTTTCTTCCCAGATCTGTAATGTCTGATTCGAGAAGAGAGGATTTCAAGGCTTTATTCTACAGCAGTAATCATTACATGAGGCAATTAGATACTGTAGTAAATGGAAAAGTGATGACAGACACACCAGGGCCATATGGAACTTACCACAAGATTATTTTTTCATTGATGTCTTTCCTGTATGGAAAAGGTGATCTAACATCAACTTGAGCCTTTCCAACAGGATTTTGGTGAGAGTCCAGCTGCTTGGCCTCATAGGCATCAGTCCAGCCTGGCAGAGTGTCAATATCCACAAACTGGGAAGGAGCACCCAAGGGATCCATGGGATGGTAACAACAATTCCCTTTCTCTGCTAACTTGTCACACTCCAATTCTCACTGGAGTCTTCCAGGTGCTTTAAAGAAAGAAAATCAAACCAGGTCACCAGGTGTTCACTGAAAGTAATTCTCCTGTGGAGCCAGACCTCTCGCAAGACTGCAATGCAATTACAACCGGCAGAAAACAGAAAAACATTGATTTCCCACTCAAGCACTCTCTCTTTCTGTTTTATTGCCTGTAAGGCAATGCAAATACTCGCAGTGAGACACACCTTTTCCAACAGCGCAAGGTGAAAACACCCTCTCTGCTAAATTGATCTAACTGGCTTGTAATCTTGCATTTTGGAAATAGTGACAACAAATTCCCAAGAGTAGAATGGACCTCAGTCTTCCTGAAGAGTGTTATTTCTTCAGCTAAACAAAAAGTAAATTTGTAGCAGGGTATGTATCATTTATTCCTTCAGAGGAATATGGCCAGGGTTATATTTGGAAAAAATAAAAATAAAAATAAAGAAAAATACACAACTTCCTAAACTACAATGCCCTCCAAACCACAAACTTTACAACAAACCCAATGAAAACATCCTTCTTACCCCCGAGTCATACAGCCCTTCTGTGAATTCTGAACCGCTGCAAACTAGACTTATTGTTACATAGTTCTTACAGTTGTGCACTCGGGCACAAAACCCCTTCGCCCAAATAAGTTTTGCAAGAAAAGCTGTAAACCTGTAAATTTTGATCGCTGGCCCAGTGAATTTGAAGATTGAACTCCAGCATCTGACTGGTTTTTTTTAAAGCCTGAGATGACACTGGTTGGTAGGTGAAGGCTCAGATGTGCCGATATGTACTTATCAGTTCAGTTTCAAGACTACTACATTCTCATTGTGACTGCTAAAAGACAGTAGCAAACCACACTGGCACAAACATACCCAAGGAATTAACTTCAGTTTTCCACATACACACACACATTACTTAACCCTTTTCACAAGTTCATAATGGATAATAATTTAAAAGAGATTGCATCCACAAGGGGTAATTGTGAAACGTGAATCACAAAGCACGTTCATTAGCTAGGAGAAAACAACAAAACAAAACAACCAACCATCCAAGCTCACACTGAGAGGTAATAAAGGCTGACAATGGGACAAAGACAGCTGTAAGAGCATCAAACAAGATTTCTGCCACAAAGAGCTGGGAGAAGGGCAACGAGCAAGAAAGGCGATGAGCAAGGGTAGAGCGGTTGCACTGGCTCCCACCAAAAGCTCATCCACAACGGCGGCTTCCCCGCTGACGAACAGCCCAAACCAGAGGTCTGGGTAAGAGGCAAGGAGGAGCGGGGCTGCTCCGGGATGTTTCCCCCACGCTCGGTGCCCGGGCCCTCCCGCGGCGGAGGCGGCCCCGGCGGGACGGCGGGCTGGCAACGAGGCACAGAGCGCTAGGAACGGGGCACAGAGAGCTGGGAGGTCCCCACACCCCCGGGGCGATGTGCGGGGCCCCTGCCTGGGAGGAGGTGCTGCCTCTCCCGCCCGTCGCAGCCGGCACGCTGGCAGCGCTCACCGCCGGGGCCGCCGCCCGGCCCCACCCGCTGCCCGCCCGCGCTGCCCCCGCGCTGTGCCCCGGCGGAACCGCGCGGCAACTCACGGGCAGAGCCGCAGAGCCGCCGCCAGCCCCGCCCGGACAGAGGGTCCCGGTCGGCGCCGGTCTGGCGACATCACCCAGGGAAGCGCCGCGGCCGCCGCGCCTTCCGCTTCCCTTCCCGGGCGGAGCTTCCCCGCCGCACTTCCCGCCGGGCCCGCGCTGACGCACTTCCAGCGCGGCGGGCCGGGAGTGCCGCACGTGTGGGGCTGCTGCGCCCTCCGCGCACATCCCTTCCCTACACATTCCCTCCTTCCCTACACATTCCCTCCTTCCCCTCGCTCTCCCCTACCCCCAGCATTCCCGCCGCCATGGGGCTGACGCGGCAGTACCTGCGGTACGAGCCCGCCGCGCTCTTCGGGCTGGTGGCGAGCGCCAGGGGCAGCGTGGCCTTCGTGGCGCTGCGCGGGGAGCGGGGCCGCTACGTGGCCGTGCCGGGCTGCGAGCACGTGTTCGTGTGGGACACTCGGAAAGGAGAGAAGGTGCGAGCGGGGCCGGCCCGGGATGCGGGGCCGGGGGGAGGTGGTGATGGGTGGCGTGGCACGGCTGGGGTGCGGCGTGCGGGGCTTTTGGACCACCTGAAGCAGCGTTGTTTGTGTTACTGGGCGGCATTTCAAGGGAAGAGACACCTCCACAGCTTCCCCCCCTCCTCCGTAGTGTGAGCACAGTGTGAGGTTTGAGGTCGTGTCCTGACCCCGTCATGGTGTTGCCTTCCAGTTCCCCACACTGGTCATTGGACCAAAAGGATCCTGCAGAGTGTTACCTTTTGGATAGTCCAGAATAAATTCCTATGTTGGATGCTTACAAGAAGGGCTTGGTACTACTTATTTCTGTTTAAGGGATTGATAAGATTTGCATTCGTTGAAATCCCTCAGACAGCACCACCACACACATAGAGCAGATGCGGCTATAGATGATTTGGATATCAGCAGTGCAGCAGCTCTCACCTTTGTTTTCTTCTGATAGTACCTTGTGGCCATCAGTTGTTAGGGGGAGGGAGTGGCAGTCCTGCTGTTCTGCTCTTACTGTGAGAGCAATTTATTTTATCTTGACTTAATCCGAAAATGGCTGGATCTCACTGTGGATCCTTTGAGTTTACCTCAGTACCTCAGCTGGGGAAGAGTAATCGCTGTCGTGGTGACTGGAAAGCTGCTCCCTGTTTAGCTGGCTGTGTGGAAGTCCTTAGATGAATCAGGGATGTCATGCAGTTTGTGTTTTGGCTGTGGAACTGGGCATCCCATGTGAAAGTTGTATCTCACAGGGAGGCAGTGAGCTGTAACTTTAAGGACTTTGCCACATATTGTCTCCTGTTGAGTCCTGAAATCACTTTAAGTACTACTGTTCACTGCAAACTGAAATTGGGATTTGCTTCACAGCCCCTAGGGTCTGACAGCTGGTATATTGTTTTGGAGATGTTCTTGTGCAGTCTATGGGAAAGCAGATCTGTCCTATTCCTGAGAAAGGCCAGGCAAGAGAGGATGAATTGGGAAGAAACTTTCAGACTTTACTCTCATACAGTGCTTCTTGCTCTCTGGCACTTAAAATGCGGAGGCAGAATTCCGAGCTCCTGAGTTCCAGGCTTCATTCTGCACCAGTCTCGTTTGAGTATGAGAACTTACTTCCCTTCTAACTGCTGTTTGCCATGGAAAATGGGGCTAATGACACTGTATTTGAGGCAAGAAGTTGAAAAATTAACTTAAACAGTGGCAGAAGCTCTCAGTTGGATGTTCATTATAAGAGTAGAGTATATTCTTTCTGCTGTGTAAATATCTGGCTCTGACACATCATTTATCAACATTATACATACTTTGTCTCCTAAAAATTGCAGGTTCTTATCCTGAAGGGTCTCAAGCAGGAAGTCAGTTGCCTCTGCCCGTCTCCAGATGGGTTGCACTTGGCTGTTGGGTATGAAGATGGATCAATCCGTGTCTTCAACCTCCTAAGCGGAGAAGCGAGTATCACTTTCAATGGACACAGGGCTGCAGTTACAGCGCTGCAGTACGACCATCTGGGTGGCCGCCTGGTGTCTGGCTCAAAGGTGAGGGTTGCACACCTGGAGGATGGCCCTTTCACAGAGATGCTCTATGGGGAAGGCTGACCTGCACTAAAATGTTCAGCATTTTAGGTGCATTATGTGGCCTCTACCTGCAGCCAAGAGGATTGCAGTGAGAGGAGTTAGGACTGCAAGACAGTGATGAAACTGGGGAGCCCAGGGCTAGGAAAGTTGCAGGGGCTGCAGGGCAGGAGTAGGGTGCTATTACAGGTTTTAAAGTGAAGAAGCTTGTGAGGTCAGGAATAGCGAAAGTGACTCAGTCTGAGACAACAATACATTTACTGGTCTGAATGCACCTTTTGGGAAGGAAAGGCACTTGCATTAAGTATCTTGACATTCAAATTCAGAGTGAGAAAGTGTGCTCTCAGGTGATATTTTCAGTCTCGTAGCAAAACTTTTGCAGAGACAAATGGCAGTCCCTTGGAGCTGCTCTCTCTGTTCCAGGATACCGAAGTCATCGTGTGGGATGTCATCAATGAGAGTGGTCTGTACCGGCTGAGAGGACACAAGGATGCTGTCACTCAGGTCCTTTTCTTGAAGGAGAAGAACCTGTTGGTCACCAGGTGAGCCAGACGAAGTGTAGTTGTTGATCAGGAGAGCAGGCATGGTTTTACTTGAAATTTAGACATCCTATGTTCTGCAGCCATTTGCGTTCTGCTTCTTGTCTCATGAGATCTCAGACCCACCATCATCTTTGATTTTGTCACATCCATATATTTTTTAATAGTGCTTGAATCCAGATGTGGTTAGCGGAGCTGAAATGACCATACTGAAAAAACAGTATTTAGAAAAGTGTTTAACAAGCTGGTAAATGCAACAACTTAAAATTATTTTAACAAGGAGTAATGATAATATGTTCATTATGTATGTAGTCATTTTTGCTGTTTATCTTGAAGAATTAAGCAGACTTAACTGTCTGTATGTGTAACTCAGCAATGTGACAGAAAAATTGCTTCCTCAAAAGCTGTAAATATAGGAATAAATTAAAAGATGATAGGGGTTTTTTTTAGTTGTTTTTTTTTTGTTATTCAACATGAGCTGTGAGTTGACTAAATCCCTTTATTAAATGGTTGACAGCAGATACTCTTCTGAAGTGTCAGTCAGTAATTTTTTATTTATTAATGTGTCTTACAGTAGCTTAAAAGAAAAGTGCATGCTATTAGTTGAGTGTGAAATTAGAGTTTCTTTAGCTTTTTTTTAAAGTTTTTTTCAGTAGTATTTGGTTAGTTTGGTGGATGATACCCATCCCTTAATGCAATTTTAGTACTTGCAGGTCAGTTTAGAAATGCTTCTTAATTTTCTCAGTAGCTAAATTGAGGTGAAATTCCTCTCTATTTTTGTATTTATTTTATTAACAGAATAGAGATATTATCCTGTTTTTCTGGAGATGCAAATTCTTGCTTCCTTACTTTAGATTGTTTTATTGGCCAATCAACTAATTGCCTTCCTTCGTGTACAGAATTTTTTGTGGTATTTTCACCTGTCCAATTTGCAAATGTCATTGGATCCTATGTAACAGAAGAAGTGGATTAACAATAAATACCACTTTTAATCAGATTTTTTTTTTGTCTTGGGGGAGCTTAGTAATGTAACAATTTGTATCTTGATTTAGTTGAAACTTATTGAGGAAAATAGGCTCTGACAAACTTACCAAAAATTAATAAAGTTAAATTGTTGTAGGGTGCACTGAAAGAATCTGTTTAAATGCTGAAATTACTTTTCTTGAATGCTCTTGTAGTATTGAGGTAGCATAATGTATGTGTTTTCAAGGAGATGTGGGCTTTGAAGGACTGAAACAGCTGTAACTCTGCGGATGAGTGTTCAAAAGGAAGGAACCTGTGTTTTTTGTAGCCTGGTCAGTGCACAGGCATGGCACTTGTTGAGTCTACAGAGAATTGTTCTCATCCCAAATTAGCAAGAAAGAAGGCAGTGTGACTCTGGGGCTGGCAGCTGCATCCCGAGGTGGAAGTAGTTTTCAGTAACTTGCCAGATACGTTTTTGTAGTACCTTTGTATTGCTCTACTTTGTTCTTGTGTAGCTTGTGAAATTCAATGTCTAAGCAGCTGCTCTGGGATATACTAT